CGTGCTCCTGGGCATGCCCATCAACTCCATCTGGTACTGGTGCACCGACCAGGCCCCCCCCCCACACTGGGGCGGCGGGCCCGCGCTCGGGGGGGGGGGGGGGGGCGAGGGAGCACGGCCGCGAGAGGCGGGCCGTCGGGGGCAAGGACAGGGTACAAGAAGGGCCGTCGGGGGCAGGGACAGGGTAAGGGGAACTGAGGGGACGATGGTGGTGATGATGATGCTGATGCTGATGCTGATGCTGATGCTGATGATGATGATGATGATGATGATGATGATGATGCTGATGCTGATGATGATGATGATGATAATGATGATGATGATGATGATGATGATGATGATACTGATGATGACGATAATGATGATGCTGTTGCTGATGATGATGGTGATGCTGAGGATGGTGATGATGCTGAGGATGATGATGATGCTGATGATGATGATGCTGATGCTGATGCTGATGATGATGATGATGATGATGATGATGATGATGATGACGATGATGGTGATGCTGCTGATGATGATGATGCTGATGATGGTGATATTGATGATGATGGTGGTGTCGGCGATGATGCTGCTGACGAGGGCGATGGTGGCGGTGCTGATGACTATCTTGGTCGTGATGGTGATGATGCTGAGGATGATGATGCTGATGATGATGAGGCTGATGATGATAATGATGATGCTGATGATGATGATGATGATGATGATGATGATGGTGATGATGGTACTAGTGATAATGTTGATGATGATGGTAGCGAAGGAGGTGTTGCTACTGCTGATGATGATGAAGGCGGTGCTGATGACGATTATGATGCAGATGACGGTGACGGACAGTGTGATCATGATGGCGACGATGCTGATGCTGATGCTGGTGGTGATGGTGTTTGTAATTGTGATGACGGTGGTGGAGATGATGCTGTTGGTGCTGGCGTGGCGATGGATGTGATGATGATGGTGGTGGTGGTGATGCTGCTGCTGCTGGTTATGATGATGATGATGATGATGATGATGATGATGATGATGATGATGATGATGATGATGATGATGATGATGATGATGATGATGATGATGATGAGCGCAAGGACGAGGAAGCGGATGATGCTGAGTTGGGTCACGAGGGTGATGAGTAGGAGGAGGATGAACGGGCGGAAGGCTAGCTGGAGTTCAACCAGGAACCTCAGGGGAGATCGAGCAAGCACAACTACGCAAGCTTGGCGGGCGACTGAAGGACCTTGGGTGGCATGGGTGGTGCTCCGCTCTGGCGGCGGACCGCCCGCAACGGGCCGGCCACTGGCCGCGGGCGGCAAGCGGCAACGGCCGGGCGACCAGGGCTATGGCGACAGAGGACGAGGGCCCTGCTCGGCCACGACAGCGCGCTGCCTAGGATCCGCGGCCGAGGCCGATCCCGCGTGGGGCCGCGCACGGGCCGGCTCTGCAACAACCCCCTTTTTGCAGAGCAAATCCGAACACGCCCACCGTTGCGCCTTAGGGGGGGAGGGGACGGAGGCGCGGAGGTGAGCGGCCGCGACCTCGAAGACGTGTGCACCGAGAGGCAGGTACACGCCCCCTCTGGGGAGCGTTGGCACTGGCGCTGCGCCGCGCCCGGGCTGCGACGCACATGGCTGCGCTGTCGCCCCGCCAGCAGGGCCCTGCGGCGCTTGCGGGCCTGCCGTTCCGAGGATTTTCAGGGTCCTCCTCCTCCTCCTCCTCCTCCTCCTCCTCGGGGGCGTGTTCGACCTGGAGGCGCAACGGCTGGGGTATCGGCTCTTCGTTGACGTCACAGTGCGCCGCGGCGTCCCACGCGAGACGTGGGCATCTGCGACCTCGTCTGGCGCCATGGATGCCACCGTGATGTCCCGTCGACGGTGACGTCACAGACGCTGTGTTTCTTGGAGGCCTCCGAGTCAGGGTCGTGGCTCGGCTCGGCCGGGTCCCAGCGATTTTGTTTGGAGCCTACGTCCGTCTTGCCAAGGACTGCCTTACGCGTGCCGTGCCGCACGCCTGATGGCGCCCACGCTTGCCCGCACGTGCAAGTCACTGGCGTAGTGAGTCCGCAAGGTTTTGCAACTCCACCGCCGCGGCCATCGACTCATGACCCTCCCAGCCGTGGGCAACTTTTGACTCTGGCTAGGAATCTGTTCGTGCAGTGCGAGCCTGGCGGTGTTGCGCCGAGGTCCAGCGTACGCTATGTGTCCGCGGTGACCACTGGGGTGATCCAGTCAGGTGCATTGGCTACGACAAGGGTAAGGCTGGATCCGGGTGCCCTATGTGGGCGACATTTGCAGCTTCTGCCAAGCGCCTCTTTTCTCCTCCTCCTCCTCCTGCCCCTTCTCCCGTTCCTCGTCCTTGGTCCCCCTTCTTCCTCCTCCTCCTTATCATCCTTCCTCCTCCGCCTCCTTCTCCTCCTCCTTCTCCTCCTCCTCCCTCCTCCTCCTCCTCCTACTCCTCGATTTTCGTCTCCTATAATGTTTCTTCGCCCTCCGTTTTCTGCGGTGCACCG